GACACGGGCTGCAGGGGCTCTTCCATCCCCAGGTCCACACGTCTTCGCACACCATTAGCGTCGACCTCCCACAGCAGGTTCTCGTCGAATGGAATCCCGACGTCGATAAGTATGTTGTGCAGTATACAGACGGCGGTGAACTGCTGCGGGAGAGTCTCCAGGTTTGTCTTGTGTGATCGCAAAAACAGACGCCACATGCCCTTCAGCCTGCCAAACGCCCGCTCCACCGCTCCCCTCGCCACCTTCTGCTTGTTGTCGAAACGCTCATCGTCGACGTGCTGATTGATGCCTCCATACGGGACCACCATCCATTCAGATGGGGGGTAACCGTTGTCCGCCAGGACGTAGCCATTCGTGCGCACACCAAAAGGGAGTGTCACATGCGGACCACGAAACAACTCCCCTGACTCCGCGCGCTGCCAGAGGCTGGACAGCTGGAGCACCCTGATGTCATGGCAGCTCCCCGGGTATCCGCAGTGACGTCGACGACTCGCAAGTCGAGGTCGACAACAACCTGCGCGATGATGGAGAAACGACGCTTCCTGTCGTAATAGTTCTCGCTAGGGGCGTTCGCCGACTTGTCGACGAAGATATGAGTACAGTCGATGCAACCGTGGCAATTGGGGAATCCTTTATCAGCGAACGCCCGCAGGACGACGAGCTTGTGAAGTCCACTCGGCCAGGCAATCTTATCTGCGTACACCCGGAGCAGCGCGGCAGTGACGTCGCGCACGGCGATGAGGCCAGAGGCTCTGCCAATCCCGAAGTTGCACGTGCCGCCGCTGAAGATGAGGCGCACATGCCTCAGAGGCTCCTGTACAATGCGTATGCGACAATCTGGTTAGGCTGCAAGGGCTCCCTGTAAAACGTCACCCACCGCTGGAGATGAGGCGCACATGCCTCCGTGATCTCCCGGAACACTCGTGGCGACATTCGTAGCTTTTCCCGAAAGTAGTCGTCCGTCGCGTCATCGCATTGACGGAGGTCTTCCCACGTGCCTCCAGTCCTGCGCTTTATCCACCACCGCGGCGTCTCTCTCGGCATCACTCCGCACCCCGACACGTACCATAGCTGAAGAACACTCTGCGACGTCGCCACGTAATCCGGACCAATGCTGTCTTGAAGCCTCATGACCACCCTCCTTCTACGTGTGCGCAACTCCGCCCTCAGTCGTCCAAGCGCCCGCTCGCGACGAGCTCTCTCTGCAAACGTCGACACAGCCGCCGCCACGACCTGCAGCTCGCGAAGCGTCAACAAACCACGTCCGCCCTCTCCGCCGAACTCCATATCCGTCACACTGAGATGGCACCGTCACTCCGTGCGCGTGCGTCGTCCTTGCACGCGCGCAGTCGACATGGAAGAAGGTCGACGGCGATGGACGCAGCCGACGATGTCTACGGGGGCTGGAGGTGACGAAGCAGAACGAACGCCGCTGCTCAGCCCGTTTCGGTACCGCGCTGTCACCGCCCCGCCAAAAACTACGCCGCAGGGAGTCACTGCCGTCGTTCGAATTTTGAATTTCGAACGTCCAAGGGCCCGCCTTTAAATTCGTCTCCCGTCAGCCGCCCAAAGCCGTTTCCCGCCTCACGACGTTGGACCACGCCGCCGCCATACGGACACAAATTTGTGGACCAAGGACGACCGACCCCGCGACCAGTAATTTTCGTATGAAAGCGGCCGCGGGCACGCCACAAGAAAACGTCCTTGGGGCAGGTCCCCGAGGATGAGTGGAACGATCACGCAAAATTCCCTTATCTGCCCCAAGGAAATTTCCTTGTGGCTCAAGGAACTCGTAAGGA